CCCAGGACCCTTCAGTTCCCAGGCTGACGCTCTGTCCACTGAGCCAAACCAGCTAGGGCGGAATCTTTTTATTGAGTTAGGGAACTGTTTCCTTTTTTGTTGTTTTAATTTTTTAAAGTATATTTTTATTGATTTCAGGGAGGAAGGAAGAGGGAGAGAGAAACGTCAATGATGAGAGAGAATCATTGATTGGTTGCCTCCTGCACGCCCCCTGCTGGGGATGGAGCCCACAACCTGGGCATGTGCCCTGACTGGGAATTGAACTGTGATCTCCTGGTTCATAGGTCGACGCTCAACCACTGAGCACCCCAGTCGGGCCGTTGTTTTAATTTTGTATGCTGTCTCTTTCCAGCCCTCCTGAGTCTTTTTGGTTTTCTGACCAAACATTTTTCAAGGGTATAGGTTTGTTTCTTTACCATTTTCCCCGCTCATTTGTCCCTAAGATGCATATAAACAAGGAATCTGGACATTGGGACAGATGAACATGGGCAACCAATCCGTTTTTCTCTAGGTTGCAGACCACATGGACGTGTTTTTGGAGGCTTAATACATGTTCGTCTTCTCTTTCTCTCTGCAAATACGGTAACTATGGTAACTGCACTCTCAGAAAATCCGCTCTACAACACGACTTCCTAGGGCCGTATTTCAGTTTTGAAGAGCGAACCTTACCGCCCGGTGCACAGACTCGGACTAGAAAATTGATTTGGCACCGTGGTGACCGCTCCTCCGAGCTGCACAGCAGGTCTGCTCGCGGCTGCGTCTAAATTGGCCCCACTGCTGCCATAAAATCCGATACCGCGTGCGTCGCTTCAGGAAAAAAGGCGATACGATGCAGCTTCAAAAATCAGATTCAGGGGATTAGCGTGTCATCTCTGATCCCAGACGACTTCCAGTCTCTGGGGCAGGGTCACTGCTCTCTCCTCAGGCCTGTGTCGCGACGATACCTCGCCGCCGAGATCAGCCAATAAATAGCATCACAGGCTGGTTAGTTTCCTCTTGCCCTGTTGGATTTCATAGCCTTCATCTTTGCCATAAACCGAGTAATGATGTAACCCAGTAAGAGGCGGCTCAGGACTGCAGCCACAGCTGCACAGTAGGTGGTGGCCCGGCGGCAAGGGGTGCCCGCGACGCTGTTGCCGTCCGTCACCACGGGAAGAGGGGGTGTGCGGCCCTGGCCGTGCCGGGCAGGTTGGCAGGGACATTTAAGGCTGTGGATTATGCTGACATTAGGTTATCAGAGGGTCGAGGAGTTTGGCATGAAATGCAGATAAAATCTCTACAATGGATTAAAAAAATATCTCTACATATATCTACGTATATATATATAAACAGGGTGGACAAAAGTAGGTTTACAGTTGTGAGTACACAAAACACAGAGTTTATTCTTGCATTATTATTTGTTAATTATTGTATTACATTCCATACAGACAACCTATTTTTGCCTCACCCTGTATATTGTATATATGTATATTTTACTGAATACTAATTTTATTTAATGCAGATAAAATCTCTACAATGGATTAAAAAAATATCTCTACATATATCTACGTATATATATATAAACAGGGTGGACAAAAGTAGGTTTACAGTTGTGAGTGCACAAAACACAGAGTTTATTCTTGTATTATTACTTGTTAATTATTGTATTATATTCCATACAAACAACCTACTTTTGCCTCACTCTGTATATTGTATATATGTATATTTTATTGAATACTAATTTTATTTGTGTAAAAATTTTCAATTATAGTTGACATATATTAGTTTTAGACATACAACATAGTGGTGAGACATTTCGGTAACTTGTGAAGAGATCGCCCGATTAGGCTAGTACTCACCTGACACCACACGGAAATAGAGCTTTTTCTTGGTTCACTTGCCAGGTGGCAGAAGTGGTCCCCCTTCACGCAGAGTCCCACTCACGGCGTG